ATAGGGGAATCCTTGTTTACAATATTTGCCTCATTAGCATAAGCAATTCAGTTTCTGATGGAGCTAAAAATAAATCAGTTCTGAATATCGAAAGGTCAAAGTACGATTAACTCGGCCAATGAATACGAGCCTGATGCATTGAATACTTTTTGTGCAACACGGGTTTAAAAACTCAAAATTTTACATAGAATGTATGAGCTCATTAGCGCTTTTGCCACCCAGAAATTTTGCAGTTTTTGATGGACTATTTCTCCTTGAATATTACACCCAAAGAGCTAAAAATTTCACCATGTACTGAGGTTTTCTAGCTCTTTAGCTGCCTGAAGTCAATTTGTATCTAACATGCTTCCTTCTTTACGCAAAGCCGTATGCAAATGAGCAAAAATGTAAACAATGACGTCAGCATGAATCCGCCTATAGCCTTTTGGGGCTGCATGAACCCCCTCCCATGGGACCGCGTATTACACAGGCCACACACGAACTTCCGGAAGTGGATGAGAAACTAAAAATTGGAGGCTAAAGGTTGGATATCAAAGAAAATTATAATGTTGACAAATAGCATATTTTTTGCTATTGTTGCTAGTTTTTTTTTTTTGTTTTGTTTTTTTCATTTTTCATCAGCCACCACCCAGCAGAGTTTTGTTATTTCTAAGCACTAACAAGGTACTGCTTTTACTTACTTTAAGATCGCACACTCCCGGTTCACCTTTCTGGCCAGTTGTGCCCTGATCACCCGGGTCACCCTGCCCGAACACACACAAACTGATCAGACGGCACGTAAAGAACAAATAACTGACAAACAGACCATAAGAAAACGAACAAAGAGATAACCCAAGAAAACTACGCGTCGCTTTGGCAAATTGAGCGGGTTGCATAAAGCGCGATAAACTTTTAAAGACGCGGCCTGTGAACAGCCTTTCGAGTAGAGTATAGGGCGAAATGAAAGGGGAAGGAAAGGAGCGAGGAAGGGAAGGGGTGTAAAGGGGGGGGGGAGAATCTCCGCCGCTGCCATCACCCTAGCCCACCTCACCCCTCTAGCCACCTAACTGGAGGCCTTTTCCGTCTCGGTCCTTCCAACCGGAACCTTTACAGAAGCTAGGAAGGGCGCAATTTCACTTTCTAAATTAAGTTTTTGCTTCTGTTGCGCCATGGTCGACTATGCTTGCTAGTACGAGTCAAAATTATATGTAGTATAGTTGCAAGTGATTAAATCACATTCTCTTGTCTAACTTAGTTGAAACTGTTGGTGAGGACGGGCACGGTTTATATGATAACTCTAACCTTGACACCATCCCTTCCACTCAAGCCGTCTCTTCCTGTATGTGAATAAAAACACATTCCGGCACTACCTTTATCAAGCTGAATGCCCCATTGAAAATCTCTGAATTTGATTGGCTATGTTTGCACAGTAAACACATGCGAGAGGAGATGAAGAAATCAAATCATTACAGCTCCTAAATATGTAAAATAAACTTACCATCTCGCCCATCCCTTCCATGGCAACCACACGACTGCTGTTGGTAGCCAGTCGAGGCCTGATTTAAATAGAAGAGTTGAGTAATTTGTGGTTGCATTGGCTGGATAACCAAGCATAAAAGTAATTATATATCGTTACTGTATGAAGCAAATAGTATTTGATTTTGTGAGAATTTTAAAAAGCTCTTGCTCATTTAACTTGAGTTTTTTTCTGGCAGCCCTTGGAAAGTCTTGAATTGGGAAGCTTATTGGAAGCTCCAGGGCCGTAGCCAGACTTCAGAACAAGACGAGGCAAGTTTCGGGTCTGGCATGCCTCCCCCAGAAAATTTTGAAATCTAGAGGCTCAGAAATGCTCTTTCGAGCATTTTCCGTGGCACTTTTCTTTAGAAAAATCAATCTTGGGCAAGTGTGGAAGTTCACTTTTTTATTGCTGAGCGATACTGGTGCAAAAAAAAAAAAAAAAGCCAAAATCAAGATGAGACAATTGCCTCGTCTTGCCTCATGCTAGCTACGGCCCTGAGCTCTGCACAGCTCTTGCTCTTTCTGCTTGCAATCAACTGTAATGGGGGAAGGCTCATTTTAATTCTGCAAAAAGCAAGGGTGCGGCATACCTCTTTAATGAGAATGACCTCCTAGTTTAATGAGAGTTAAAAAGAAAAGCGACGTGACAAGTCCTCTTAAGAGGAAAAAAATTTGGACACCACCGAGTGCTAGAATTTTTAAAATGTTTCTTGAGATACGCACGTGCTTTTCTGCCTGTATGGTCACTTATAAGCAAATTAAACTCATTTTCATACGAATGGTTTAGCNTCACAACCCACAATTCCTCTATTCGCTCCGAAGAAGGGCTAACGCTCGAAACGTCAGCTTTTATAATCGTAACGGTGGCCAATTTACCATTTCAACTTTGTTCATATATTGAAATTATTTCGTTACCCCCACCGACGCAGCTCCAAACAGTTTCTTTAGAAACTATCAGCCTTTATCCTTAATTAAACGTTGCGTCATTATGTGAAGCGAAGTGTGGGGTGTAAACAGCATATGAAATGCAACTTTGAGGTCAGAGGAACCACTTATTCCCCATTCTCTCAACTATGAAACTAAGAATAGGTTTACAGCCGTTCGCGACTGAATTAGAGGTCAGCACAGATAAGTCCACATACCCAAGGTTATTCATGGGTTGATGACCAAATGAGACCAATTTTAGCCGGCTGTGTGCGCAGAAGGATTGCAAGATGCAAGTTACCCGAGACTTTAAGGTTTCACCATAAAAGATATTGACTGATCATTGCAATAGATTTATGTACTGGACTTACTTGAGATACTATTTTCGCATCCACAAGAAAGAAAATAAGAGTACAGCACAGCAAATGCACGAACTGAAAACACACCATGTTTAGACCCCGTCTTTGTCAGTCTCTGGCTCGCAATGTAAGATGTTCACTTAATTTTTTTTTTGTGCTATTTGAAAACAAATTGCGATTGACGGAAGGTCTATAACTTCATCGGTGTTATCAAATGCGCGGTACGCAGAGATAGGCCTCTTGCCAAAGGCTATCCCGCTGAAAGCGTAATCAATTTTGTAGCGATATGTAACAGGACAAGGGTTTTCAAGGTGCTTCCAAACGATAAACGGGTAATTCGTTACCGTTATCTAATCTAAGCTATACTTTTAAATTCCTTAGGATGATGAATGAATCAATACCTTCTTCTTGTACTATAGCGCCAAGTCACAATGATAGGACGATGCTAATAAGTACATTTATCTGTTTGATGCCAGAATTACTGTGTAAAGTAGTTTTTTCTTCTTAGTGGAAAGGACGTCATCGTAATTTTTCAGACACTCGTTTGCGAGCCGTAGAAGTAAAGATTAAAGTGCTCTTGGAACTCATAACAATTTTAAAAAAGTGATTGAAAGATAAGACAATGACTTTTAACGATTTGAATTTCACTTAGTTTTTCTAAGATCATCTTCTATCAGCGCTAACAGTAAACAATGAAGTCCAATTTGATAATGTCTAGCTTGCGATCAAGCATATCAGAAACAGGATTGAACCAAAAAAATAATGATTCTGTAAGAGATGGTTGCGATAGGATGTCAAAGTTGTTGGGTAGATGAAGGCCAGATGATCAGGGGCATTTAGGGTTTCCTGTAACAGGAGATACTTTCGAATACTTCTACAGGAACAAAGGAACTGTTTCAATTAATTTGAGGAACATTTTCACATCGAGATTTTTTCACTTTCCTTCTCTGATCTATGCAAAGAATGCCCGACACCACAGTTATTTTGGTAGGAAATGCATATTGGCCGTGTGAATGAAGAGACAAATCATGTCGTCTCGTTTTTCAACATTATATCTTGGAAAAGACAAATTGAATAGAAACAAATTCAGTTTCTAAAGTTAGAGTTACAAATAATTAGGCGTGTTATGGTGTCTTGATCCGGTATCATGCTTATCACCAAACGGAAAATTCTTGCGAGGCGGATTATCAGGTGATGGTCTACAACTTGCATTTGGACATTGTCTTCAAGCTCATTGATTTGCTTCAAGATGGATTATAAGTCTAGTCTGTCCCGTCGGCGTTTCTGTGAGCAGCTTCATTCATTCTCAGCTTAAATCTTTTTAAAGACATGTGCGGGCGTGTAGGAGGGAGTAAGATGAGGGAGGGGGGGTGAGGCTTATCGATATTTTCTGCTCTCCCCCGGCACCACCTCTTGGGTTTCGAACGCTCTTTCGCCTCACGCAATGCAACAGACCCGATTGAAAATGTATGCTGCTTGTCATCAGCCATTTCCAGTAGCGGTCTTTGATCATGAGCGCCCAGTTAGAAAATGTCCAACTAATCCAACAGCAATGTCGAAATCAGCTCAAGCTTTCTCTTCTTACGATCCAAGAACTATCATTGGCTGTAACGTTGTTTCCAGGCCCTAGAACTGCTACTGCGTTGGGAACGTCTGAGGAGGCCAGATACCTAAAAAGATCATACCATCATAAGCTGGCCAACACTGTTGGATTACAAAGTATAAATGTGTATGAAACTCGTGACACTCACGTGCGCGCCACGTGAATGACGTCATCCCCGGTCACGCTAAACAGCCGGTCTCTGTTTCTCTGGCGCATTTCATCTGTCACACCTTGAGTAAAGTAGAGCATACCGCGGTTGCTTGGAGACACTGGTTTGTCGACCTACGCGGACAAAAGTGAATTAGAAGCAGTCAGGGTTATCGAGTGGATGCCACTCGATAAAAGGTTTTATTTACTGTACCTGATTTTCTGATTAGTCTGCTTGATCAGACGATGAAGATAAATAAATCACGACATCTTTTGTCGATACACTTGAAGGAAAGTCGTGTCTGATGCTTACCTCAGCAAAAACCGAAAGCTTAGCTTCCTCAATGTCTTGGTCTGTGAACTTTCCCTCAAGTACCCACTGAATGGAGTTCTCAAACGCTGACAGCGTACCATCGAAATTAGGATCTCTACAAAAAAAATATCTCGTTATAATAATTATTAACTGCAAGGGGATGATTTCAACAAAACTGACCAATCTACAATACATGAAGGTTGTGTCAATTCTCTTACTAAAATGGCCCGCTCACACGGTGTATTGCTCAGGTCAGAACTAAGATGTGATATGGCGATCCACCTTCAAATGGATTTTAAACTCAAACTTGCAACCAGTCTCCGGACACATTTTTAGCGCTTTGAATTAGTCAATTGGTGGTAAAAGCACTGAGGAGATTGTATGAAGTTTATGGAGGGTAAAATAAATGAATTTTTTCAAACACTGGTGCAGATTATATACCTGAGGCTACCACTTCCCAATGAGAAAATGTTATTTACAACAAAAATCACCTGCCACGTTCCCTAGTACAGCGGTCTCTCTAACTGAGCAACGTAAGCAGACTTTGCATAACACAGAGGGGGTTTACCTGTAGGAGTAGAATGAAAAGATACCGCCTCCCATCTTAGCGCCACCTCCATACGCTCCACCTTTCTCCCTGTAAGAAACCAAATAATGAACATTACACTGCATTTTCTCGATCGTACTTACGGAAATTTGAGCCAGGATTGCAGCAACAGACGTATGTAGAATGAAAAGATTGAACAGTATTCTATGTTCGTATTTTATACGATGGTTAGTTTAGTTTAGTTTAGTTTATTGGATTCGCCGACAGGCACGGTCACCGCAACAACTTGCGCCAATTACTGCGGGCCCAGTAAACCCAACCATCCCAACCCAGGGGAGGACATCCATCACACAGTAATCTCGTGCGTGGGAAATTAACGTCTCCTGTAGCTTAAAACTGTACCTTATTTCGCGGTGAAGAAACTTCGCCGAGAGTAGTTTGGCCAGAATTCTTAATCTAGACGGAGTAAGGGCGAGGCAAGATAAGGTAAAGGTAAGTAAAAAAAGCGTGTAGGTAGATTAACGTAATAGGTTCACTTTGGGCCGGGTAAAGGAAGAGGACTGGACACGGGTTTACAACCCACTATCAAACAAACCATTGCTACAGGGCCTGTCAGGTATGACATGGGTACTTCCTACTAAACTTAAAAAATTTATTGAAATCACGGAAATTGCAACAAAAATCTGTTCAGAAGCCTCAGTAAGTATGACGGCGAACTACAACGATAAACATCTCCTAAAATTCTTTTAAGCTACGCAAATTCCTTTACTGCTTTGGATCCCTGATTTGCTAAAGATCTTTCTACACCTTAAAACTTCAAGTCGGTAGTCTCCGCGTAAATGTCGCCCTAAACATTTTTTTCATATACCAGCACTTCTGACAATTGAATTGGTAAGAAACAAAAATGTGTGACTTACTTTGGATGGTCTTCGTGTGTGTAGGGAACTGTGGGTAGGCACCTACTGATGTAATTTACTGGGAGCGGTACCTCATAATGGGTCTTAACCGCAGATGGCGTGTAGTCTGGGCTCTATAAAAAACAACCCTTTTGTTAGACCAATTTCCCACACGAAACAATTTCCTGCAAAGAGGTGATCAGAGTGACAGACTGGAAAGTGATATCTGATAAACTGGCAACATCAAATTCTCTTACTTCATTTACACGAAAAGGTACGGCAGTTAGAAGAGAGAATTACATTTTGGCGAGTACATGTATCGTTGCCGAATAATGTAAGATTCGCAACTCCTTCCATAAAACGTGAAAACCGGTTATAGCTCACGGAAAATGGAGGATTGTTTAAAATCTACTTTATTCCAGTTTATTTTAGAAGCATACCTGAACATGAGATGATTCTTCGACTAAACTACTGGGCAGCGAATCACAGAAACCCTCTAAAGCATTTTCCACTGCTTGCCGACCTTGAGCTGTTGTGTTCACCGCGCATCTGTAGGTAAAGATAACTTGGTCGGCAACAACTCAGCGAGAGAGACTCTAACAATCACCATTACAATCTAACGCGGCAACAGAACTACAAACTCTAGAGACTACAACTTAATTCCTTAACTACCATGAGTGACCAAAACAAAAATTCTCCTTAACTCTTATGACCAAGACAGAATTTCTCCTTACAATATCCATAAAATATCAAGCAGACAAGTATTGAGAATAAGGAAAATGGAAAATCAAGGGATTATCAGTTGATCCAATACCAAATTCTCCAAACTAAAATCATAAGAATTGTATAGCAGACAGTAAGGAGAATTATTGATGAGATCTTGGGAGTGAAAGAGTTAAATTAAAGGTCTGTAATAGAGCCCAATGGCCCATCCAGCCGGAGCTTATCGGTTTCCTTAGCATGAAGCAACAAGGAGTTTTACTACCTCCCCCCCTTGGTGTCCATCGCAAGGTAACCCCCCCCCGCATTTCCCCAGGTTTCTCTCTGACAAGCCACCGGTACCTATTCCTACTTCTGCGGGGCCCAGTTGTTCAAAGGTCGATTAGCACTAACCTAGGGTTAACATTTAATCCTGGTTTCTTTGTATCTATATTCAAGAGCATTTTCGGAATACCTTTAGAGCATCCAAGTATCAAATTGTAGACAAAAACAATTAAGCTGAATTTTTCTTTAAGTTTTCAGATCTGAATTCAAATTTCACGCTAACCCTGGGTAATTTTAATAACACCTTTGAACAATC